ACCGCTGCCAAATGAGGTCCACTCCACCTGACGGGCGGCTGTCGAAAACAGTTTTTCAACCCCCCAGCATATAACGACTCGAATCGTTTTGACAGCCTGCAATCTTCTGCATTGATGTTTAACGCCTCCTCGGCATTTGAGCCGATTTATGACTTCATTAGAGGCAAAATTTTGAAGGCTTAAATAATACAATAAATTGTAAAGATCAAACACGCATACATAAATAGATGTTTGCTTATTTTTTTGTTCTTACACATAAACATAAAAATAAAATGGTTAAATTACAAAAACTACAAAAAGCAAATTTAAAACAAATTTGGTAAACTTTTTAAATTACCCTATTCGAACAAAAAGAAAATATAAACACCATAACTAAAACTTTGAAACACATATTTTGTAAGTATTTCTAAGCTTAATATCAAGCATTATACTATGTTGATAATAATATTATATTGTTCGATAATTAGTAATATTTTTATTTGAAAAACGTGAAAGTCAACTTTAACAATTAAATACGAGTTTAAATTTCAAAGCTAAATCGGTATGTTATTTTTTGTAAGAAAAGAATGTATGATTGACCACATATGCATATCTTTTATCAGAATGCAAAGTAATAATTACTTATTGAATGAAAACTTAATGTATTGTTAGACATTTAAGACCAGTTAAAAAGTATTTATTTCATTTAACTTTGATTAAAGCAATGGTCGTTCGTTTTTAAGGCTCCATTTCAATTATCCTTTGGTATTTTGCCATGCTCTGCTTTGATTTATTTTCCTGTGGCTTCTTCGCTTAATTAATTTCAGTCATTTGGCAAATGGTTTCGCCAAAGTCAAAGGGTTTTATTGAGCGCGTTTAATGCTGGCGGAGATCAAAGCGTTCTTTAAGCAATTCAAAGACACCTTGGCACCACTACCACAGCCCCTTTTTCCGCTTGTTTATTTGTGTGTTTCCCTATTTATTTTCTTTGGCTGAATGCAACATTTTCACTCAAGTGATTTGATTTGGCGAATTGAATTTTCACTCCAAGTGTGTATGCATATCTAGACCAAGGCACATCCCCATCCATCCATCCATCCAGCCATCCCCAGCCATTCAATCTGTCCGTCAATCAGTCAGTCAGTCATTCAGACTTGGCGGCGTCGCCGTCATCGTTTTTTTGGCTGTTGTGTTGATTGTTTGCTTAGCGTCCTCCCGCGAGACTCAAGTGGCAAAACATTATTTTGTTCAGGAAATTCAATTAAAACTTTGCGGTTTTTTTGTTAGAATTTGTTTTTTTACTCGCTTCCCTTCGATTTTCAAGTGGTTTTCAATCAAATCGAGGCGTATTATTAAAACGACGATGAAGATGTGAGGTGGAAGGCAAGAATCCGATAAATAAAGCGAAGGTGAGTTAGTGCATTTACATTAAAAATATGTTTAGGTGATAAATAACACGGTTTTCATCAAATACTGAACATGATGATTAAAAACCATAAAGACGGACTAATATAAATATTTACATTCTTAATTTACCAAATACACATTTTAATTATAAAATAAATATTCAATTCTATTTATATATTTTCTGACAATATTATTATGTACACAAGAAACTAGTGGATTGGAAAGCCCATTTTATGGCGTATCTCGACAAGATTGGCTTCCCACTCCTCTAATTTTGTTAGTTAATAATTTTATCTTATCGCTTTTAAAATTATAATTGCTTGAAGCGGTGTCTTTAAAAACTAATTTAAAAATTAAGTTCTTAATTTCAGCGCTATATTTTATATGTTATTCATGTGATTTAGTACCTTAATATTTCTGTAATACAAAGGACACTCTTTTCTTATATTTCTTATAACCAAATTTAAAAATGTCCCTTTAGCGTTTTGTTTACCACTTCTTTATGGCCTTACAACCCAAAGTCTAAGCACATCCGAACCACCCCGAAGCTATCTATTTGAGCTCATAAAAGTTCCGCTTTATGAGTTGGCAAACAGAAAAGATTCGCGGCAAGTGGCGGCCATTTGAATTAAGCCAACGACTTTTATGGGGCTCGTCTGGGCCAATAAAGATGGAGTCCCCCAATGGGGGGAGGAAGATTTGTCAGAGGGGGTGGGTACAACATCCGTTTATCGATTTGCACATCATGATAACGATTACGTAATTGCAATTGTAACAGCAGCACAAAGACCAAAGAGAAAAGATGAAGGTTGAAGGCTGAAAAGATACAGATACAGGTACTGATACAAAGGCCTGACACCTTGCATTGTAGTTTTTGTAGAGGGGTATATCTGAGATTGACATCAATGGGAGCGTTGCCGGATAATGCGTGGGATCGGATCGTTTTCGGGAACGCATCAGGTCGGTTCCTTTGGGTCTCATCGTTTTTTCAGCACCGGAAGCGTTTAGCAGCCTTCTTTGTGCCAGATCGCGAACAAAGGACCAAGGAGTGGGATTCGCGATCCATCCGAAAGTGTTAAAGAGCAGGGATCACACACAATCGGAGCTCTATTTTCGGGGCCGCAGCTTGACTTTAATTGAGTTTGAATAGAGCAATTTAGTTCCCGCTGCGTATTATTCTCATATGTTCCAATTCGATCTAAGCAAAAGTTCTCAGCCCAAATCGCGCTGGAAAAATGGTTTTCTTCTGGTGTGGCGTTAATGATATGGTGTCCAACCCCTGACGGTCACAACAAAAGGGGTTCGCTTAACCCCGCACCCTGCCCCCACAGAAAATCATCACCCCCTTTTCTTCGCTGGGCGAACAATTACCATCTGAATGTGTCACAGTGTGGCCAGAAAGTATGTTCCCAGCTCTGGCGATTGGCTTTGCCATTGTGTCCTGGCCATGTAATTACACACCTTTTGAGCCGGAGTCTGGCTCTGAGTTTTAGGTGTCGAGTTCGAGTTGCGTAATCATATGTTTTGGCCTCAGCCTCGCTGGCAGCTGTGAATGGTGCTGGCACGCCCACTGGGCCAAATCAACGCCCACTTCCCCTAATTGCTGAATGTAAATATTTTGGCCGACCTTCTGCGTTATGAATTCACATTGTTATTCTCTTTTTAAGTTATATTAATTATGCTATGAACATAAAGTTAAGATAATGTTAGATCATGGACAACTCTTTTGATACTTATCCTTTTATGACCTAATACTAACTTAAAGGTGATAAAACATAAGAAAGAAAATGTTTGCAGTTACCAACAAATTATATTTGGAGATGGTATTAATTCATTACCTTATTTGAATATTTTATACTGACTGATTACTGATGTTTTAGTTATAAGAATAATAGTACCAGATTTTTTTCATATATAATGACTGAAAAGAAATGTTACATAATTTGTTACATTGTTTTAATTTTAACTCAAATTATTAATCATACACACTCTTCAAAAAAAAAATTAATTTAACAATACACTCTCTATTTATAAATTTATTTGGATACTGAAAACTGTGGTAATAAAGTTTTACAGACCTTAGATATGTATCTCGTTCGCCCTCTCGACTTGTGAAATTTCCAGTCATAAAAAAGGCTGAGAAAGCTGTTTAATTACGCCCCTCGGCATACACAAACATTGTAAAACAATTACACTAAAAGTGCTGAAAGGTAATGGGTCGAGGAAAATACGAAATGGTAATGCGAACGGACAGTTTTTCACCTTCTCGGCGTTCCCGGAAAATCTGCCTGGTTTATGGTCCTTAAGCAACATCGTTTATAGCGCAATTTCGGTGAGGGGCGTTTGCCAAATGACTTTTAAATGCCGTCTGTGATTTGGCCCTAACTATCGTAATTGTTTCGCTGGCCATGTTCTTTTACAAAAATGTAAAAAAAATTAAAGAAATGCAAGAATTATACCCGACTCAGGTTGAATCCTTTAGGGATTTGAGTTTGGTAAGAGGGAAATTGTTAAACAAGCATTCAAATAAGAATTATGGACCATTCCCAGGTGAACTGGCACTCGAACTCAAAGAAAATTCCATTTTCCTCGGACTTCTTTTCCCCTCACATTTGACTGCCTTTTTTTCCTTGACTGCGAAATTTCTTTACTTTCTTTTCCCGATACTCAAGAGTTTGTTTAAAGTAAATTACTTATGCAAATCAAAGTGCAAAAGAAAGAAAAGTTTGCAATTTATTTCGCCGATTTGGGGGCTGAGTGCGAGGGCTGTCAAGGGTTGAGGGTTTGACCTTTGTTAACTCTGTTTGCATTTGTGCTTTGCTCTTTGATTTAAAACTGTCAGCGCACATGAGAGCTGGAAAAGTGCGAGTCGTTGAGTTATGGCACCAGTTTCACTCCTCCCACATCCAAATGCAAATTTACCTAGGTCCCATTGAAAAATGGGTGATTGTTCCCCGCTTTTGTCGAACATTTTTCTTCGTTCCCTTTTTTTTTTGGTTGGCAAACTTTATAAGCACATTGATTTTATTAAATGTTATTTTGAGTGAATTTGATTTTGATATTTGTTTGTTTGGGCGACCTGTCATTTGCATGCATCGACACTTGTGCCACTGATTTTTCGTCGCTCCCTTAAATAAGTCATCGATTATTTGCCAATGGCTGTGGCTTAAACTGATTTGAAGGATCTTATGAGTGTTTGGCATTTTAATGTTTTTGATTTGCCTTAACATTTTATATTATTAATTCTTAGAAAGTATTACAGACATACTCGATAAAAAAGTATATATCCCAATTTATTAGAATAAGCATTTGCATTCTGAAAATAGGATGCCATCAAAAACTAACTAAAAACCATATTCAGAAATATTTCTGTTAAGAAAATTAATAAGATATTTAAGGTAAATAAATGATTTTGAGGTACTTCGCGTGCTCAATGATGTATTTATGATATTCCAAAATTTTTAAATTTATTAGCCTGCATTCGTAATAAAAACCTTAATTTGTAGCTGTGAAAGGCAATGTAGACTAAATTTATTGCTCAAAACGAACACATTTTAACAAGGCTCAATAAAACTTGAACTAATTAAGTGACTCTGGTTTATCCTAATGGATCTTCAAAAGTTGTTGTTATCGGAGGATTCCGATTTGGGGGCGGTGCCGAAGAACTTCTCGTACTCCTGTTGACGTCGAAGGGCGCGGGCTTCTCTTTCCATTTGTCGTTTTTTGGAGAAACGCTGATGGATGCGCTTCATCTCCTGCACCTCCTTCATCTCCTCCTTTTCCTCATCCTGGACAAAGAGGGATTTAATTACTGTCCTTAAATAGAAATTACATTCAACTTACAGTCATGTTTAGTCGAAGGACCAAGGCCCTCCTGCCATCCGACATGGACTGACTGTAGTGCATGAAGTTCTTCAAACGCTCGGCGGGAGGAACACTCCGCTCCACCACCAGGACGATCCTTGCCCACTGGCGCTGCCATTCGTTGCGGATCTCTGCGATCTTCTGGTAGGTATTACCCATCATGGCGATCAACATGTTCACCAGCAGCACACTCACGATCACCATGAACAGGAAGAACAGGATCTTCGCCTCGTACTCGTGCTGCGTGGAGACCATCGCTCCGTAGTAGTCCCCAAAATTCGTCAGGGACATCAGGAACATGGCCACTATGGATTCCATGGGCGAGGGCATCGGATTGGACTCCGCATCCTGATCCTCCGGTGTCGATGGGTTGTCGAAGGTCAGGAAAATAATGTAGAAGGCCTGCGAGAAGCCCATCACGAACACCAAATAGATGGAGACGAATCGGAGCAGATCTCCCATGACCATGCGGTATATCATCACCACGAAGGGACCGACGGTCTTGAAACCTCTAATAATAAAAAAGAAAAGAGATTTAAATATGTACAATATTACCTATAAACTCTTATTATCAAAAAACATTTATTTCTTATAAATGCTACTTGTGGTTTATACTATATTTAAAATATATACATAAATATATTTACCTATAGTTTACAAACCTCTATACTATATTTATCTATTGTTATTGTGCTGAAAAAATATCAGTGGTTCTTAAATATATATTTGATTTATAACGTTACAAAATATAACTTAATAGAAGGTTTATTTTAAATGAACTTTCGTTTTTCAATTACAAAACTAACTTACCGACAGAAGAACAGAAAATACGGAGCAGTGGTTAGCATAATCACAACGGTGACATGATCATCGATCTCGGTGAGACAAGAAACCCTCAACCAGGGTATGGTCATCATCAGAGCACACGAAAACAGAAACATTACCCGCGAAGGAGCCGTCATCTTTAAAAGGTTTTAAAATAAAGAATACAATTTATAAATTTAATAAAACCAATTACCAAATTCTCAATAAACATTTTCAGGCCCAGAAAACGAGCCTCTCGCAAAGCGACAAGAAGGTATAGTATAGCTCCAATGAAGTTCAATAGTTCTGCCATTATACGTAGCTTGGCCAAATCGGATTCGAGATTCATCAAGGGACACTGGGCATAACTTTCCCACCAAGCGGGCAGGACCTCGACTTCCGATGGATCGTAGTACTCGGTAAAATTAAGCCAAAAAGTTTCTGAAAAATATATATATTAATTTAAATGAGAATGTAAAAAAGTAGTTTTCATAACTTCTGTAAAAAAAGAAAACTATTAAAGTTTATAAAATTAAAAGTTATAAAATCAAAAAATTAACATTTTGATAGTTTTTTTTACTCCTTCTTTAAATATACTCAACTGTATTCTGTGCTCTGAGAACCCCTCTTCGTCTGCCGATGGTACGAATCAGAGCCATTTTGCCTATAGAGATCATTCTTGACCGTGGTGCTGTTGGCACCATCCTCGTCCTCCTCCGTGTTATCCGGACCTGGTCGCAGGATAAAGCTGAAGAGCGAGATCAGGAAGTACAATGCGAACATGTAGAACTGCTTGTAGAACCGCGACTTGCAGAACGTGTCCCATTTGGTCTTCAGCAGGTCGATGACCACGCCATCGAGCAGCTCCAGATGCTCCAACTTGTCCCCAAACACCACGAAATTGAGCACGGAGTCCTTGTTGATGTTGCCGGTCTCCTCGTTTATAGTATCTATCATTAAAAGTGGGTAGGCGGCACAGGTGATGCTGCCCAGTTGCCAGTAGATCTCCCTTTCGATGCTCATCACGTGGAAGAACATCTCAACTCTCCCCAACTTTGCGGCCAAAGTGAGGGGCGTTAGGTTCTGGATGTTCTTGATGTGGATGTTCGTTCCCACCTCGTAGCCCACGTCGAACATTTCGATCTTTTCGTAGATGACCAGCATGTGGAGCACGGTGTTCCCGTTGGTGTCCTGGAAGTCGGGATCAGCTCCTCGGGCCAAAACCAAGCGGAAGCACTCTTCCTGCGACAGACAGGCAGCAAAACTCAGGGGATACTCGCCCCAATAAACATACCCATCGTAGTTGGTCATGGGACACAGGGCCACGTACTCGTGATCCGGCGAATCCGTCCGGGAAAACTTTGTATCCTCCGCCGACATAAAGGCTCCACAGCAACTGCAAAAGATGTAATAATGCATTTAAAGAATTGATTGAAAATAAAAGTAAATTTATATAACAGTTACTATTATTTAACAATTTAACAACTTATTTTACAACTTTAAATCAGCTAATTGATTCCTTTGATATTTAATAAAAATAATTTGGAAACAAATCGACAACCTTTAAAATGATTTATATATTTGAATTTTTATATGGAGTTTGCTAACTTATAAATTTAATCCATTTAAGATATTATTCTTAACGACAAGGAAGACAAATTTTAAAATTCATTTTCTCACCGCTCTTGGACATCTGCGTTGGCATCTAGCAGATATTTCACCATGGCAGGATCCTCATTGACAATGGCAATGTGCAGGACACTCTCTCCGTAGTACTCGTCGCTCATGTAGGTGTCCAGGATGAGTTTTGGGTAGAATTTGAGCAGCCTCTTGGCAAGATCAGCGTGCAGCGAAGAGGCGTTTAGCAGGCACAAGTGGAGGATTGTCTCGCCCACAGCACCACGCATCTAAAAAAAGAAGAAAATAGGTAATTATAATAGATATGACAAAAGCTCTATGGGAAAGCAAAAATATAGAGCAAATTTTAATTGGGTTTCCAAAACGCTTAATATGGCGGCTTACTATACACTTTTATATGTACAAAATGTACAAATGTACAAAAAGTTGTTACTGAACTAGGTTTGTTTTCTTATCTCCATGTTTAAACAAATTATAAATTATATATTATGTTACATTGCACTACATTTTGTAGTACGAATCATATGAATCACACTGTTTTAAATGTTTCAAATCATTTGAATTCTACTGAGAAAGACAGAGCCCTAGCTTATAATCCTACACCTATAATCTATAGTATATTGTAGTTAAACTAATCTATAATACCAAAGATTATGCCTAGTTAATCGACACCACATTGCAAGATATAACTTATCCACTCACATTCAGATCCCAGCAGACGAATCGATAGGCGGTCGGATTGGAGATGTACTCGGCCTCGGAGACCTCGGGGCAGTAGTCATGGATGTTGAAGTCGTCGTCGGGGTTCTCAAGGGCCCGGATCTCGGGCAGCTGGCGGGTGCGGGGGCGATCCCGGTTGCGGAGCAGGACGAGCTTCGAGATGGGGAAGTAGCGACCTGCGCCCTTGTTGTACAGGAAGGGCTCCACCTTGGTCTTGATGGCGTGGTCGATCTCCGCGAACTGCTTGGTTTGGCAGGCCCGTTTCATCATGTCCACCAGAAGGCCGCCGCCCTTGAGGTTCACGAACTTGTAGAGGGCCTGGGTGGAGACTCCGGCCTGCTTCTTCACCCCGCTGGTCACATTGCTCTCCGTATTCCCCATTCTCCGATCCCGAAGCTTGCGGACTCAATTTCCCACTGGGTTATTCCGATTATTAAACGCTTTTGTAGCGCGACATTGCTGGATGGACTGTCTGCTCTTGGAATTTCCTACTTATAATGCCCTGGTCCTTGTCCATTGGGGGCTATCGATAAAACATTCCGTGGCACCTCCGTTGCCAATGCAACAGCTGAACTTGAGCTCCTTTGCACTGTTTACGCTCTGTTGCCAGGACATCGCACCTGTTGCACCTGCTCAACAAGTTCCATTGGCCTCCTCAGTTTGTTTATTATCTTTTTGAAGTTTGACGACAAGCTTGCATCAAAGACCAATATAAGTTTATATTGGTATTTGCTTGCATGTTGTTTTGGTCTTGTGGGATTTTCTGCTTATATTAAATACATTTTCCTTTAATAAAACTGTTCCTTAAATTTAATTATACTTGAAGTTATCAGAATTACGGTTTATTCCGATTGTTTTAAGGATCAAAATTAAATCGACTGAAGTTTTTTTAAGATTCTAATGTAACTTAATTTATGATTAAAGGAACTGAAATGGCTGAACATTTTTTACTTGGTAAGTTGATCATTATTCTGCTGTATTTCTTACAATTCAAGAGTATATTTTAATCTGTTACTTATCTATCAATAGCAATTTTGACTAATAAAAAACTTTAAAATTCCTACAAAAGTATTTTCCCGCTAAAAATATATAATTGGAATTCAAAAGGCGATGTATCTTATTTATCGAATAGTCTAAATGTTATCGATTTACTACCAGTGGTGTGTGTCTCCGCTGTTATACTTCACTGGTAAAATGTCATGTAAATATATTTGACTTCATTATGTCATATACATGGGCTCCAATATAGAAAATCAATTTTTTGAAATTGAGAATAAGCCCTACCCCTTTAATGATCTTCCTAAAAGTCGGTATACCATTTTTTCTGGATATTTATTTTAGAAGGCAACAGACAACAGTTCCTTGCTTATCAACTAAAGTAACATTATGCAGATGTCTTCTCCACCAACTTGGCCATCATCTTCTCCTCCTTGGCCTTTCGCTTGGCTTCCTTCTGCTTCTTCTTGTCCTCCTTCTCCTTTTGCTCCAGCATCTCCTTGAATCGTTCATCGCGGGTGTCCACCTTGAAGCCGAAGTGTCGACGCACTTCTTCCACCAGGCGTTCCTTCCGTTGTATGGCCGCAGCCGCATCCGCCTCTCGCTTGGCGACCTTCGCGTGCAGATCGGCCTTCCACTGCTTCAGCTTCTCCATCTTCTTGGCAATGTCCTCTTCGCGGGCATTGATCTTCTCCAGCTCCTCGGCCTTCTGCGCGCGGTTCTTCTCCAGCATTTTCAGGAGCGTCTCTAGTTGCATAACCTGCCTGTTGTCTTGCTCTCCGCGGGGATCGAAACAGATCTTGGGGTTCACATTGCTCTCGGCGCCGTAACGCCCGAAGGCCTGTCTCTGGTATTTCTCGGTCAGATGAATCCAGGAGTGGGCCTCCTGGTAGGGCTTTTTGTTCAGAAGCACATTTTTGTGTTGTGGCTGCAGGCCGGATCTGTCTACCGTCTGCGGATAAGCCGGTTCCTCATCCTCATCGCCGACCAAGGACGCCGGCAGTTCCGCCTTAGCAGCACTCGAGTATTGCAAGCTTAAGCGGAGGGCAGGAAGTCTGCTAACAGCGTTTAATTTGCCCAAATTCATGTTAAAATCTTAAAGCAAAAAAGTTTATTAATTTCCAATAGAGATGCAAGAAAACAATAACGGTGGAACACTAGACCTCTCAAAACATCGGTAGTACTATCGATAGTATCGTCTGAAGAAAATGTATGGGGTATTCAGTGAAGTGGCAAAAGTTCCAGCAGTTATCCTTATATTCATATTTTTTTAAAAAAGTGTGCGTTAAGAAACAATTTTTCAAACTGAACATAAAACAAAATCAATTTTCAGCTTTTAATACCAGTAGACTGGCAATTTTATAACAAATTCTAACATTTGAAAATTATTTCCCAGGAGGAAACCACTTTTCAAACTGAGCACAGAAAAAAACAATTTTAAGCTGTTAATAAAAGTAGACTTGAAAATATACAACGAATTTAGTGACCATTATATTACCATTATTTGCCTGGGATTTGATAAAAACCCGAAACTCGAACTAATTTTTTCGGGGTTTTGACCATAAAATACATTTTTTGTTCTTACCTCGCCAAAATACGTCCCACACCCAAAAGTATAATTGCTTTGGACAGCTGAGTATCTTAGCTATTTCATTTCCATTTTTTTTTTTTCATTTTTGTTGCTTTTTTTATGAGGGGTTATTTACATCATGTGCGAAACTTATCCGAATATATACAATTTTCCAGCTGTAATTGTTAATCTATTTTAAATTTAATAACGAGTTAAGGTGTTTGAAATAAAAGCCGAAACTTGAGTTTTTATTTTCGGGATTTTCGACATAGATGTAGATGGCAATCAACTGTTAGTCCTACATTTGGAGATGATTTTATAATTATTGTCTTAGCCGATGGCTTAATTCTTAAAATAACTAAATACATATTCTGATAGACATTATTCTGTAATCAGTAAACTAAAATGGATGTTTGTATGGTAAATGTGAAAACGGAATACCCTTATTGAATTATATTTTGCAATCTACTAATGGTGTGACCACTTTGCGGAAACTATGAAATGCTTGCTTTTCTAACCACTAAAAAGAAAGGAACAGCCATTTTGTTGTTTTCGCGTTGAAAATTTTTCGGCATGATTGAGACATTGAAAAAAGCGAAGTAATTTGGATATTAAAAGGTAGCAACTGCTTTTAATAACCTCGAATGCTTACTGAATATGCCAGAGCACGAATAAGTGAATACATTTTGCCAGAAAGCCCAAAAGATGAGCGGATCCAATGCAAAGGCGTCGGGGACTGGTAAGTACCCATTATTTTCCCATTGAAAATTTTTCCACAACCACTAACACCCATTTGAACAGGTTTCGGCAGCCACATCCCCAGCATCGAGGAGAAAAACAAGCAGATCCAGCAGGAAACGATGATGGAGAAGCTGCGGGCCAAATACCGGAGTAAGCCAAAGAGCTACGAGGAGATCAAAAAGTCGGTACGGATGTACTTCATCGAGAAGCACTACCCACTGGACCCCGTCTGCAAGGCCACGCTGCAGTCGGCGCTGGACAAACTGCAGCACTACATTAAGGTCACCTCGCGGCACGGGCTGGTGGAGCGCCTGGAGAGCCTCTCTCGGCAACTGGGCCTCAAGTTCATGGAGGACCAGCAGTTGCTCTTCATCTCGACGGACATGTTCTACGTGGAGATCCTGCTGGATGCCGCCGGCAGCCTGTCGGACGTCAAGGTGCACCACGAGTGTAAGATAGAACAGCAGTCCAGCGAGCTGGTGGCCTGCCTCAAGTCCGGCGACTTTGCCGACTTCACGGTCCAGCTGGAGGGCCTGTCCTCCATATACCAGCTAAACGCCGAGCCCAAGGTGAAGAAAAAGGCGTTTGTGGCGCTCCAGGCTATAGAGACGGACATCCAGAGCCTCTACCAGCTACACCTGCAGGGCCACTCCGGCGACGGCTACTCCGGCGACAGCTACTCCTTGATGACCAGTTCCACCGTTGGTCTGGTATTGCCTCGCCGTGGTGGGCATCCCATGAAACTCACATACTTTTGCCCGCCGCTGCACCTCCCCGAGGGTGATCCCAAACTGGCCAGCGGCGACTTTACCATCGAGCAGGTGATGCGCAGCAGTCACGGGCTGAGTGCCACTGTGAACCTGGAGGGCTCTTCCGCTAACAAACTGCAGACACTGCCAACGGTGTCCTTGGTGCGCGATGCCCAGACGGGTCTGGAGGTTCCCACCTACGCCCAACTCAACCAGAACAATTCGTTGCTGATGCCAGCCACGTATGTACTGCGGTTGAACAAGCCGATGCCCGTGTGCTTGGAGTCCTTGAAGGCACTCGGACTGCCCGGTCTGGATGCCACGGCCACACCTCCCAGCCCGCCCACCACAGTCCTCAATCTGATTGTACAGACTGCCTCCAAGCAGGCCATTAGGAACACCCAGCGCGGCCTGTATGTAAATCTGCCCAAGGAGACGCACTGCTACTTCTTTACAGACAATCGGAAACTGCAGGGCACCCTCGTATCCTCCTTGCCTTTCACTGAGCCCGCCCAAGTTCCGCGGATCGTGGCGTTCCTCAAGAAGCAGGCCCTTTTTTACACCCTGCTCGCGAGCTGTGTTCGCGAGCAGCAAAAGCAGTATAATGGTAAGTTCGGCGCATTAATTTCCTTCCTTTTCTTCGAAAACATCACATCACCTCGTTCTAATCCGATGCAGACATGGACAGCACTGTGATACTGGAGGTAACCGCCGTCTCCTTCAACCAGATCACCGTTGAGCTTCAGCATCCGTACGAGGAGTCGCTGGCTACGGTGGATTTCTTGCTAGAGGACGGTCAGCCCACATGTAGCGTATACTGCCTAAACAATGAGTATGAGCTGCTGTCCCAAAAACTCACCCGCACCGTCCGCAAAGTGGTATCCATTCCGATGGTGATTTACAAGCTGCTAAAGTGCTGGGATGAGGAGCACGAATTCAAATTGCATGGCGTTATAGGTCCTGGAGCCGGATCTGCTGGCTTGGGAGCAATTGGAGGTGGAGGCATGGGAGGAGGAACTTCGTCAGGCGGCGGCAGTAGCTTCAATCAGTTTGCAATGGACACAGCACCCCCACCAGATGGAAGCTTGCCCGGAGGTGGATTCGCCAACATAAGCAACCTCAAAATGGACGCCAAGTCGCGATCCCTAGCGGATGCTTTTGCCGCCTCCACATCAGCTGCAGCGGCTATCGCTGGACTGATCAATCTGAAGCGCGAAACAGACCCCCAATCTGGAAGTTCCACCAGTGGCGCCTCGGTCAGCGGTATGTCCAGTTCCTCTGGCGCTGGTAAAACGAGCGATCATGACATTGCTGACAAGTATAAAAATATCTGGAAGGACAAGACTCCGAATCTAAAGCACTGTGTCAGCATCACACCCATTCCAGGGGATGGGAAGTCTGCGGGATCAACCGGAGGAGTTCCCGGCGTTGAGGTTCAGCGCACGGGGGGCATAGAGATTATCCCTCTGAACGCCCAGGCAACTGTCGGTGGGGTTGGGGCAGCCTCGTCCAGTGCCGCACCCACCACAATAACAATAACCCCTATTACGGGCAAGGATCTCAGCAAGGACTCGTCGAAAAAGAGCAGTTCTACATCGGCTGGAGTAAGTGTGGCCACCAAGCGACCCCACGAAAGCAGCACCAGCGGCACCTCGACATCTGGTGGCAGTGGTTCTAGCAGTTCCATGACGTCCTCGACCAGCGGCAGCTCCTCGGATACACAAAAGGAGAAAAAACGCAAAAAGAAGCGCGACGATTCGCCAATGGGACCACCAGAGAAGATATACTCCCGGCAAAACTCGCCGGCGGCTGGCGGGGATGCTTCTGCGCCTGGTGGAGTGGTGCGAAAGTTCTCATCGCCCTCTTCGTCGCCGAAAGCAGGTGGCGCTGGACAAGGTCTGATGGCCGGAGTACCGACGGCGCGTCCCAGCCCCAAGCACTCGCCCGTCTACAGCAGTCCCAAACATAACACCGCCTCCAACAGCCCGAAGTCGCCGTTTGGCACGCACTCGCCCAAACATGGCTCCTCTGGCAAGCCGAGCATGTCCACGTTGAAGAGCGCAGCCACGGCCGCCACCATCCTGAGTCCCAAGGGGGATAAGTCGGCCTCGGCTGTGGGGGTTGCAGCATCGGGACCATCCGCCTCATCGGGACCTGGTGGAACGCCTGGTCTGGTGCGGTCTTTTGCCAGTGTCGGAGCACCGCCACCACCGCCGCCAATCCCTCCATTAGCGGGCGCGAGTGGATCCATGGGCGGCAACCAGAGCTTGAAGAAGGAGAAATCCTCCGCTGGATCTGGTTCCAGTTCCTCGGCATCCTCAGCAGGTGCAGCTGTTTCCTCCGGCGGAGGCATTTCCCCGGCCAGTGTGGCGGCTGCAGTGGCTGCCTTGAAATCCTCCCAGCAGCAGCTAAAGTCGGTGGCCAGTCTCTCCCATCTGGCGGTCGGAGGATTGGGCAGCTATGCGGCATCCTCGGGAGCAGGCGGATCGGCTGCGGCAGCAGTGGTGGTGGGAGCAGGAGCTGGAGTTGGAGCGGGGGCCTCCGGACTGGAGCTGAGTGCCCTGCGCAAGGGCATGGCGGGAGGTGCGGTAAGTCCGTTTTCATTATAAGTGCTCCACACCACACCAACCCTCCCCCAGCAACTCCCACTGGAAGCCTAACACGTAGTTGACACTCAGCCACTTCTCTTAACCAATGCAGAATCAAATCAGAGCGAACCTACCTTTAAAGTAATGCAAATGCTGTATTTATCTAAGCTATAAAACGATTTGTAATTCGCCTACCTTTGCTGTAGTTGAAAATGATTATTATTATTGCTACTATTAGTATTTTTTGTTTGTGTCTCGTTTTCCTTTTTTCTTATTTTTGTAAATATATATTATCCTATTATTTGTCATATACTGCTGCATCCGTTTTATTATTGACTAAATCCAAAACTTTACGGTAATGGGGCCTTTCCAACACTCAATATTCTGAAAACGCAAGATCTAACTCCCTTTTTCCTGCATTAAGCACGTATATATGTAATCTGTTTGTTTTGTATTGTTGCTCGGCCTGGCATGAATAATTTAGAAAATTGTGCGCTTTCCTATTTCTACAAAGCTTAAAATTCGTAGAAAACATAGAAAAAGAAATTATTGCTAGTGCTATTGTTTTAGAGTTTTAATATGCTTTTGGGAATTTATGTTGGCGTTTTTGTTGTGATTTCAAAACTATTTGTTACTTATAACGAATATGAGACTTTTGAGTTTGAATTAAACATTGATTTTTAATTTTTACATGGACAATTGACTGTGCTATTTGGACTATTAACCAATAATAATTATTTGAATCTTAATTGCGATTGTAGTGACGCTTTGTTTTAAGTATTAAATGGAAATGTTACTAGTTTTCATAGATTCATAGTTGGAATATAAGCTCCTGATAACGTCTTGCACACTTTTAATTTCATTTTTGCAATCTTCCGCACAAATTTCCCGAACGAAATGGGATTACTTAGTTTCCGACCGATTTTTAAGCTAATTACTAACGGGGTCTTCTCTTGTTTTCTCTTCCTTTTTCTATATCTGTATTCTCTTGCCATACGACATCCGCACTCTCGCTTTTCGGTGGGATCCTGAAAAATCCACTTTTTGTTATCACACGTGATGTTCCACCTTTGATTGTTATAATTTTGGTTATTTTCTGGTTTATTTTTGGTTCGTTTGTTCCCTAACACACACACACAACCACATGCTTACTTTGTCAGGTTAGTTTGATGACGTCGACGGCAGCTTTAGCGCCAACAATCCCGGCAGCAACAACAACAGTGGCGGTGGGAGCAGCGGCATCGGCGGCGTCATTGGCGCCTCCAATCTCGTCGGGAGTGGGTCAGGGTCAGGGAACAGCGGCGGCGGCAACAGCAGCAGCGGCAACAACACTGGCAACAGCAACAATACTGCAGCAACAGCAACCGCCGGGAGTAGCGGCAACTAGTAGCAACTTGACCACCAGCGGGGGCAGCAGCGACTACGCCGGAGGCAGCACTCCGGCCGGAGCCTCCACGGAGTACATGGTGAAGCCCAGCAGCCAGGAGGGCCTCAAGCTGACCATCAACAAGACGGGCAGCAGCAAGAGCTCCGTCTCCGGTTCTAGTTCCTCGTCCGGGGGCCAGGCGAAGGCCAAGAGCAGCAGCAGTGGTGCAATGGGCTCCGCTGGGTCCTCCGGTTCCACAAAAAAGCAGCACACCGGGCTCAAGCCGGGCGTGAACAGTGGACCCGCTTCCAAGAAGGCCACTGCAGCAGCCTCGTCCTCAGCAACATCCTCCAGCAAGCATCTCTTCCAGAAGGCCAACTCATCGGGCAATCTCAGTAGCAAGCTCAGCGGATCGGGCCCCGGCGGAGGAGTTCCGCTGACCAAAAGCAACAGCACCAACTCCTTCCAGGAGCACAACGCCCCCAGACGACGTCCCAGCATGGGAGCCTTGGCCAGCGGGAGCAGTGCTGGTGGCAGTTCGCAGCGCAAGTCCACCTCCAATTCTTTGGGGGCCAGTGGCTCCTCGGGAGCCGTCTCGCCGGCCCTCAGCGGCTCCATGTCGCAGCCACCGCCCCGATTCGATCATCATACCGACATGATGACCATCCTGCAGTACGCCTCTCCAACGATGGCCGCCAGCATGGAGGGCTTCATCAAGGGACTGCACAACAAGTTTCAGATACCGAAACTATCGCAACGAGGAAGTGGAGCCAATACGGCCAGTGGACGCAGCACGCCCAGTGGCGGCGCAGATCTGGCTGCAGCGGGAACATCATCCTCGTTATCTGGAGCTGCCAGCTCGACTGGATTGACGGAGCCGGAAGCCAAGCCGCCGGCACCACCTCCTCCGCCCGGGAATGATGGACTGCTTAACCTGAGTAGCACGGCGGGAATGCCATCGGGGGATGGCATCGATGAGGAGCTTCTGGCCAGCTTGGCTGGCGAATGACAGAAGGTGGACAACCAAGAGATATTCCTGTTGCTCTATGCTATTTCGATTTAAAGCTAACCTAGTGACTAAGTTATGAAGAATTAGATGAAAGCCTTTAGTAACATGAGTCTGGGTTTTGGGATGCATGGATACTAAGATTATTAATAAGTAATTTCTGAATTCCATTGGCGGTCCCCATTCGCACAAAGTCCTAAGGAAAATATTATACAATTTTAAAACACGACAGAAAATTTGGTACAAAATCTCAGAGATTATCACGTATTCTGTGGAGTCGAATTAAAAACAAAAACTCCCTAAGCTTTGGTTAAAAAATTCACTAGGTAACCCTTAAGAAAAGCGATATGGTATTGCGCGAATAACATCGCTCTAAATATTATGTAAAATATAATAAATGTATTCAATTGGAGACTTGTGTGTATTTGGTGTTGGGTTGTTAAATAATTGTTAACGGTTTTCTTATTAATGATTTAGCTTGTTTTATCCTTTTTTAACCGGTTCGCATTTTTATAGGTCCTCAACAACTTTTCAACTTCCTTAAAATTTTAAAATAGTGTCGAAACAGCTCGCAGGAAATTTTTTTCAAACTCTTGCTCAGAAAACCTTTCCACCGAAGCTCTGAAAAAGACACAACATTTATAAAGGTGTTTAATTGAATAAATAATTTTAGTTACCTTGCTGCAGTTCGAATTCCATTCATTTCATCGTTATTAACAATGATATGTAATATGTTTTCTGCGTATTCTACTGCGTCAACAGCGAGGAATCCATTTTGACTCCCCTCAGAGGTTTCCACAATGTCAAGCAGAGGACCTCCAGACCTGTGGGCTACCATTATAAGGCCAGCCGCCATACATTCAACGATTCCGATCCCAAAATGTTCGTTCCACATGGTGTGTATGCCAATGTTAGCGGTTTGATACAATTCAAGAAGGTCATCGTAGGGGACATTTACATTGAATTGAACATTGTTTTCAAGCGACAGATGCTTGGTCAAGTCCTGCATGTTTTTCAAGCGAGCATAGTCTTCTTCATGTCGGCAGGAACCCACAATTACCAACTTTATTCTGTTCCAGAGAGCCTCGTCCTGGGCTAATAGAGTCCTCAGTTCGTATAGGGCTTGCAGTTGGAGGGGGTGATCTTTCTCCGGTCGAAATTGTCCAACAGATAGAATGATAAATTCCTCGCCCTTCCCCGTGTGCTTTAGATTTTTAAGGTGGCTCACCTCGCACGGAGGATACACCAGGTGAGTCTTGAATGGCACTTGCCACAGTTGCAGTATATGATCCTCAGTCCACGAGGAGTTCACCATAATCGTCTCGGCGCAACGACCCACCCACTTGTACATCTAGAGAAAATGGATTTGAATGTAAAATTGTGGATATTTTTATTTTTCCATAACTCACCCTTGAGAAAAGTCTGTAGTAGGTCAGCTTAGTCCAAGTCAAGAAGGGATTCCTCGCCACATACTTCTTGTTATTGTGGGACATCTGTCGCTGCTGAACCCTCCACAACATATCTGTACTGATAATCGGATAGTGCACATAGCCGCCTACTTTGGACTGGGCTAAGTAGCGAAACAGAGGAAATGTGAAGGCATATCCCATGGTGTCAAGGAAGATGTCCGGCGGAAACTTGCAGAGCGCTTCCAGGCCCAGGACCATCGATCCAATACTCTGACCCAGCAAAGTAAAGTACGGATAGTTCTTGGCCTCGATCCAATGACGATACTTCAGAAAGACGAACTTTACGTTGTCACTATCAACAGAAATGTTGAAAACATTCTTTGCCTTTTGCAATATGGCATTGGGTGAAGCGTCTATATCACCTGTGTAAATAACCACCTTGGCGTTCTCGTACTTATTCTTTAAGATATATATTTAAAATTTAAAAGATTAGTTTTCGTATGAGAAAATAATTAATTGTTCTAATTCTAACGTATACATTCATTCTATTGGAAATTGAAACTTAATTCAAATAAAGAAAATTGGACAATTTAGAGCATTAAACATATTATTGACCATTTAAATAATAAAATGTAAATTTAAAAATATGGAAATGTTAATATTAAGAATACCGATTATTTATAAAAAACATGTTTTGAAATATGTATGACAGTTTGGTGGTAAGGCAGTCATCTGATCATCGATTAGAATCTTGGAGACACGTATGTGCGGATGTTTTGATGTTTTTCAAATATTACCTGCAACGCTTTAACGGCGCACCATAAAACTCGTTCACCCCCGCCACCCGCATTACAGTACGGATGGAAAATGCCAACGTTAATGCAGTTTTCCGAGGATGTGTGTAACTTCTTCTTCCGGCTTAGCAACCATTGCCTCAGGGAAATAAATGATAATACCGCCGCAAACACAAGCAATAACAACACCCAGAGACTGTGAATAAAGTATATAAATAAGTTGGCCAATTTAAAAGTGAGTATTCTTACAGTAACTTTATCATTGTCGATTTATTTTTAAGGATTCATTATTATTACACGTAAATAAAAAATATTGCATTATCGCGAAATAGGGATGGGCGATATTAACTCTCAATAAATGTCGATATCGTCGATAAGAGAAAAGTATTTTTAAAAATACAATCTATCGATAACATTTTCAAATGAAAATTTTACAATTTATGTTCAGAATTGTGTTTATTTTATTATAAATTGACCGTTACTTAGGATTTTTGATTATTTTTTTGTAAAAGACCATTCTTAATCACTAAAATAATTTTTTTATGAACGTTCAAGGCAATCATTAGGATAGATATTATATTATGAGATAAAGAAAAATAAAGATATTCTCTATTAGGAAACAATAATAACGGTTTACTTTGTCAAACAACACATTTTCCAAATCCAGCACATTTATTTATTTACAAGATTCCGTTAAAATTGTTATTAGTCTCTTCAAAATTATTTGTATTGTATGACAATTGTTAAAATAAATGCAATTATAAAATTTATTTTAATAAAATTTATTTTATTTAAAAAATGTATATATATTTAATTTTTTTGTTTGATTTGGAAGATATTTTTATAAATAACACCAAAGTAATAAATCGTTTTAACTGATTAGAACCCTAAGATCTTTAAGTATGACATCAACTGGTAGTAAATGAATAACCATAACAAAAAAAAATCGTAAAACAGAATATTTAAGACAACAATGTTTTAGAGTTAAAAAAATAAATGTGCTGGAGTTTTTCTTGTGATACTGCTTTGTATTAAAAGCTTGTGAAAGCTTTTGACATAAAATAATGTTGGATTGAGCATGCGCTTACTTAATGGAACTTTTAAGGATAAATACAATTATACTGTCAGTCTTAAATTCGAGACTATTTTATAAGAAAAACGAAAAAATGTTAATAATCTGACAAATAAATAGGTGTTGTGTGAAAGTGAATCGGGCCTGGTTAACAAGTGAACTAATAACCAAAAAGTGATCAATTTAATAGAGAAAAAAGAGAAATAAGTTCTTACCATACATACATACATATTAAAATGGTAAGAATGAAAATGGGTGCCTGCAATTTATGAAGTGATAAAATTAATGGAGAGTGAAAAAACTTTTTCCTGCTTACAAAATTTGATTAAATGGTTGATTAACTATTGAAACTGTTCTCATTTTTAGAATCTTGGCACCTTACACTTCAGTTCAGATACATATATTATGTATGTGGGTGTATATAAGTAGATGTCTATATATACAGACACACTTATGTATTCGTGATTAATTTGAAAAGATTATAATGCAGTATGAGCTTAATTTGTAGTTGAGAGACATCAATGAATTAAACGATATTAAAGAATTTAAAAAGGGCTTAAATATTGATTAGTTTCTTCTTATGTATGCGTATAAAATAGAGATGTATCTTGAGACCCATTTATGTACGTATATAAATATATTTTAAACTACATATTGAAGATTGACCAGACATGAATATTAAGAAGTTCTTTGGATGTTAAGTATCGCCTTATAAACGATCACGATTAAGCAACATTGTGGCGAATTTCTTGAAAAACTTTATGGTCGTTGACTTTTTGAAAACCTTTTTATTATTTCTATTAATGTTCCATAAATAATCGACAATAAAATGTATTAAATAATAACTAAATATATTGTAGTAGGACAGAAGTATGTAAAGGAGAAAAACGTTGCTGATCCTATACATTTTAGGCGCTCTTTACTAACATCAACTGCTAAGTCAGTATATAACGTGTTTTCCGTTTGTTCGCATGAATACCCATCACTCGCAATCAATAAAAGATATATAAATATGATGGGACACTTAGGATCTTAAGATGCCTTATGAGATCAAATTGTTATCATTTTTTGGCCACGCCCCTGACAGGTCACAAAACCGATTTTAAAAAATGTTGAGAACTGATAATTGTCGATACCTACCTATAAACAAAAATGTTCCTAATATTAATATAAACATGAGAACCCCTTTTACTTTACTACTTGACTATAGCTCTATTTATTGTTGGAACTATTTTATTGTTAATTCCTTTTTTTTCGAAAATTAAGAACCCTGTAAACGTTGCAGATATATGTAAATGTTAAAAATAAAGATCTTGTCATATTGCCAGAATTTATGTTAGCTGATAAAATAACTACATTTTTACTTTTCTTGTTAATATATTAAGACTATAATTTTGTTATTTCGTATTTCAGAATAACTATACAAGGAGATACTGGCCGATTGTACTTTACTTATTCTCGTGTTCACTTTCCTTTATCGGTAAGTATTGGAATATGCAAAACTTTGAATAAGAAATGAACTTGTTAATAATATATTTTAATAATTAATTAAATGAAAGCTTCATCTTTGAATTACCCTTCCAATTAAAAGTGATCGTTGAAATGCAAGGCAAAACAAATTTTAGCTTGATAACAACAAAAAGTAAAAAAAAAATATTTTAACAATAGCAACAATGTGTCTTACCTTTTTCAGATGGCTCTTTTATACTGCCAGAGAATGACCCCCCCACCACTGCTCCAAAATTCTTATCCCGGGGTCATTTGTACAAGGTCATCGTCGGGGAGACCATCGAGTTGCCCTGCAAAGTACAAAACCTCGGGTCATTTGTGCTTTTGTGGCGGAAGGGTTCATCCGTGCTTACAGCCGGGCATTTGAAAATTACCAGGGATCAACGATTTAAGATAGTGGGGGATTACAACTTGCAGATTAATGGAGTGAAGACTCAAGACGCTGGAGATTATATATGCCAGCTCGGTGATCAGGAAAATCGGGATCAAGTTCATACAGTAGAGATTTTGGGTAATTCAGTCATAATATTAAAGCTTCTATTGTATATATATAATTATATATCTATCTATATATCTACATTAAGTGCCGCCGACGCTGAGGGCCCTTCCACATAATGGACAAGTCACTGCCAGGAAGGGAAGCACTGTCACTTTGGAGTGCAAAGCATCTGGTAACCCTGTGCCCACAATATTCTGGTTCAAGAAAGATGTGTTCTCCGCGCCATCTCACTTGTCGGACAGCTCAACACTTATATTGGAAAACGTGGACAGACATCACGCTGGCACTTATCAGTGTTCCGCCGATAATGGGGTTAAGGACCGCGTATCCATGGACATAGAGCTGACCATACTCTGTAAGATTAACTTTTTATGGAACTATATACTCATTTAAATAAATCTCTTTTGAATCTGTTTCAGCTCCTCCTGAAATCACCGTAGAAAAGTCCTGGGTTCATGCATCCGAAGGATACGATGTGGAGCTTGTTTGCATTGTTAATGGAGATGTCAACTCAGAAGTAAGTGCAAATTATAAACTATATATTTTTTGGATGATTTATTTATTGCATTCATATCTACTTGAAGATGCTGTGGTATCAAAACTCATTTCTACTTGATGCAACCGATCGACGATCTATGTATCCACGTGATGAAAGATACAGTCTTATTATTCGGAACTTCCAGCCCACAGATTTCGGAAATTATAGCTGTGTGGCCGATAACGCATTGGGAAGAACAAAGAAATATATTGAAGTATCTGGCAGACCGGGGCCTGCTGATTTTATTTCCCCAGGTATAGGTGGATTCATAGACCATTACAACTTGACGTGGACCATTGAGTCTATACCTCCGCTGGATGAGATTAAACTCTTGTATCGACGTCTTTTGGTAATAGTTTAAATAATAGTTTTGTTAAGTTATGTCATCAAACTACAATTTTAGATGAATGAAACCTACCAGCATCCTGGTAAATGGCATGAATATCACATCAAGCCAACGCCAATAAGAACCGATGGATCGCACTTTTTAATGTCGTATCTGGTCAGAAACTTGGAGCACAATGCTGTCTATGAAGCGATTGTACAGGCTAAAAACAAATATGGATGGAACGAGGTAAGATAAAGATGTTGTTTGACAACTTGTGTATATTTCTTAAACGATTTAAAATTTTTTTTTTAGATCAGCGATATTCACCAGTTTTATACGCGAAATCATGATCTTCTTCTCGATATCGACATGGAATATAAAATGGGCATTTCAAGCAATATTAGAATATCTCCAACTTACTTTGGAATAATTTTATCTATATTTATGTTGGTATTCTATCCCATCATTAGTGTTTAAAAAGTAATGAGTAGGGTTTATTTGCAAATATAATTTAAATGGTGCCTTACTAAAACTTTAGCAAATAATTAAATTTACATATATGTACATTAAGAACTCGTATTAAATGTATCGAAATCTCAATAGAATACTTCTCTCAATAGAATATTAATGAACGTACTTCCGAAATGTTTAAAGATACATAGAGGATCTTAAAAGTCATTATTTTTTATTACCACGGAAGGAAATATCATTAAAAAAATATTCACTTAAGGTGTTAAAGTAAATACTTAACACGTTCATAGGATCAGTATTTCATTTCATTATGTGAGAATTAATTTTGTTAATTCATGCTAATCAAACTTTATGTAAGCCTTAGGAGTGTTCTAATACTCGGGTAAAGAATCTGAGCAAAAAATGTTAGCCTCAGTATCCAAATCCATGAACTGAGTACCGGATTAAATCATAATTACTCTCAAAACAGATCTAAAAATCAGCCCAAACGAAACTAACCGATATTGATAAGGAATATTAACGTCACACCATAAAGGGTTCGAATTAGGCCATAAAGTTAGAAAATACTTATCCGAATACGATCGGCAAAAAGCCCTCGAATTAAAATTACGGAAAACGAATTTCGTATACTTGCACAAAATATATATGTAAATAAGCACAAGTAATTTAGAAACATCTTCTGATTGACAGTGAAAATGTTAAGAATCAGAAAAAAAAACATTTACCACGTTTATACGATGCATATCCCCATAGCCCTCATATTTTTATATTTTTCGGTATTACTCTAAGTTTCAAAAATGTAATAGGCAAACACAAGGGCAATAAGAAATCACGTCTCTCAAAGAATTTGTTTTTTATTATTAATTATTTAAAAAATTGTTATTCCCCCAGAGTGGTGAGAAATTTTTTAACATATCGCGATAGGGTATTATACTATACTTATATCCACAATCGTATAAGCGTAGTAACTGTTGAAAAAATTAAAAATCTTCTTTTATGAATATTTAGACATTAGAAAATATGGTAATCGAATTCTCTACAGTTGCACCATAGGTACTCTTTGAAATTCATGTCCGATTTGTGACACCATTTTTTGTGGCACATTAACCAGTTCACCTTAAATAGAAAAAAATTTTATAATTTCACTTTGTACGAAAACTTATTCAACGTTTTATTTGAACTGGTATTCTTTCTCTCATTCTGGGTAGTGAACGAATAAGAAAAGGAAACTATTCGACACATAATAGATCAGCATTAAAATACACTGCTGAAGAAAACTTAGCAATTTCATATGAAAACTTAAACGAATACAGTATATACCCTCCTGTAATCATAAAATACATAAATACATATTTCAATATCGTTCAACGATTGTAGATACGTTTCATGATAGGTATACCAATGAGAATAAAATCACTTACAAAATAAATACATAGAAGTTTAAATAATTAAGAGTTAAGATTTATTGGTCTAGAATATAAACTTCCTCAGTTACTTATACCAGTGAATATTATAATTGAATTATATATTTTTAATGAGTTTATGTACAAATGTGTAATCTGCTTTAAGAGCAAAAATTATATAAAATTTTGATTGTAATAGATTTTAAAATGTTTTTGTTAAATAAGACCACAAGGCTAGGTTTCATTATTTTTTTTGAGACTTAATATATTTTTCTTTATTTAAAAATTATTAGATTTTACGAAATTTATTAAGAACATTTCTTTACGTTAAAAAAAAGTCTTTCTATCATAAACAAATGCTAAAATTCCATATTATTAATAGAAATATCTTTAGATACATAATCAAACAATAACATATTAATAGACTTAAAAACAAAATTAAACAAAAAATAAAAAGCTGTATGATACAAAATTAATCTTTTAAACCGGGATAGTATGAAAGTAGTAATAATATTAATAATTCTCTTGTAAGTTTGTACGTACGTATGTCCCAATACATATGTATGTTATTATGTGTGCGCAATATCCGTAAAATTTGGGTCGTCTTATGGACGTAATAATAAAAATGGAGTATCTTTTATTTTAACTATAAGTGTTCTTAGTCATAAGAAATAGAAAATATCTCAACAGTCTTATAATTTCGACAAAAAAAGATTTACTTTACAATAAGCGTGTAAGATTTAACTACTAATAATGTGTGTCATTATACATAACAAACTTACAAAGCACGAATAAATCATTTTACTAGTAGATTAACATAATTCTTTTTGATACGGGTTTCACTTTACTTTCGATGTGAGCTTTCGGTCACAGACGTTGTAAAATACGTTAAAAATACCTCTGCAACTAACCAGAATATAATGCAAGTAAACACGTTATACAAATGTGAATATATTTTCGTCTTATTTAGATAATTTTAATGTATAATTGGTTTGGTTATTAATTCTAATGTTGTGTTCTATTAGTTGATATTTAGTCAAGTGGGGCTCCGTCCGGAGAAGTTGATAAAATCGAGGGCTGAGGACTTATTTGAGTGACGGTTGTCGGTCTGATAGAAAGCAATTGAATGGCTTCTAGGAGCCCATCTTGACTGGTTGAAGCCAAGGGCCAATTTCCATCTGCAGAAAAGAAGATCGAAATTAGAATTTAAAAATCAACTAGGAGTGTTTTGAAAAGGTACCAGAATTATGCGAAGTATATCGTTCAGAACTGGACATTTTGTAGCAAGAGGTCTTTAATGTATTCATTGGCATAATCCTGGTTTGATTCCATGTCACTGTGTTTCTGTCAGTCTTCGATGCTTCCCACGGCATTGACCACCTCCTCATCTGGCTTTCAGGATCTGTGGAGATACCATCTATCACCTCCCCAGCAGCAGCTTCTGACCAACGACGCTGACCGTTGAGCGGAAATAATGGAAAGCTTAAGGATGATTTGACGTTCCGGTGGAAAGGAATCTTCATGGACAACAATTGTCCAGGGTTTGGCAAGGGTCCGCGTGTGTGCTCGAAAATAGCTTGCATTGGATTGGCATCGCAAAAATTCAATTGAGGTGAAGGGCCTCGTGGTTGGTCAGCTTTAAGTAAAATAAAATACTTCTTTATATAGTGTTGAAATAGCCTAGGTACACGGATTACCAGTTTCAGAAATTCCAGTGGCAATTGGGCGTTGATCGGTTAATGAGTTTCCTCTGGATGAATCCATTTTTGTACTTGGCCCACATAAATTGGGCGAAGGAGTTTGAGATCGTTGATCATATTGATTGCTGGTAAGAAATGAAAGTCTTATTGCAAAATAAATAATAATTTAATCGTGATATACCGTTGTTTCATAACACTGCAGTCTTGTTCATGTGGAAAGCCCACTGGGGACTGGCAAACAAAGCAACAAGTTAAAGAAGAAAATGCATCGTAGCTGGCCGCACAGAATTGGTGTTGAATATTGATAACAGCTTGTGCATTTTCTAATACAATTAGTTCGTTGTGCTCTCGGAAACGTTTTTGATCCAATTCGGTATTGGAGGACTGATCCATAGACGATATGGTAACGAAATCCTGAAGCAAAGCCAACATGTGGGTTTTAACGGTTCCTGTGGCCACTGTTGTTGCTCTACGGGTGGATTTAATCAAATGTAAATATAGATTTTCGGTATGCTAATTGTTCTTACCTGGCCAAATCGTTCCATGAATTGGTTAAATAAGATGTGGTATAATTATTGAACAATGGTTTCTCGCTTAAAGACCACTGTTCTAAAACGGCTATAGAATGTGCCAATTTTGAGCCGGCAGTACATAAATTATTCAAAGCGCTCAAGTAATTTATCCAAGCGGCAGAGCATTCACTCAAAGCGGTTTTAGCTGATATTGAGGAATTACTTCCACTACTAGAAGTAGCCGAGTGTCCAGAATTGTTGCACAGCTCCTCCATTTTAGAGACTAATCTAAATTGAAAAAACGTAAGAGTAGTATTTCGGTTTCCCAAGAAAACGTTTTTAAGTGTTTATCAAATTATTTTGTCCTCAATTATTGTTTACATAAAATATTTTGACCTTCTACAAATTATTAAGATTTGTATGCACTACTTATTAGTATTCCATAAAACAACATAGCAAGTCGAAGCACATATACCCTTAACGTTGTTATTTAGTAGTTTTTAAAGATATTTTTGTAAAAGCACATTCCTTGCAGGATAAAAGGGTAACTGAGTAATTAGAGGGTATCGTATAGTCGGGTAACTCGTCTAAACATTCATGTTTAGGTTTTATAAATTCCTATTCCGTATTGGTAGTCAATTAAGTGTTGCCTAATACTTTTTAATTCAGTGATTGCCTGATTTAAATTAATGCACTTTTTTGTGGATTATTTTAAATTGACAGTTGAAAATAGTTGGAATGTTTATATGCGATTACGAAAAGCGCAACAATAAAAAACTGTCCAAATAGTTTTCTTTACTCTAAAAATAAAGTTAGTATAGTAAACAACTATGTATGTAAGTATTTTGATAAGCATATCTATCAGGAATATATATTTAGTTGTTATATACATAATAAACAATAAATAAATTGTTTTATTAAACACAGTCTTTGTGTCACCAAATTGTATCACTTTGTTCAAAGGGTATACAAACTCTTTTTGAGTACTTCAAAGCGGAATTTTTATTTCTTTCACAACAAGGCGGGAAGCCTATTGATTTTTTATAGTAGGAACTCACTGTCATGCAGCCCCTTTTTTTTATTTTATTGTTTTTAATACTTTAATTGAAAATTTCTTAAACTATTTTGCCGGACGAGAAGCAGTATGACCAAAACTCAATTGCGCATAAAAGATTAGAAAGGCATTATTGAAATTATAAAAGTTCAACATTATTTTTCTCACAAATTTATAATGTTGGTTATATATACGACTTTATTTGAATTAAAAATTGATTATATTCGAAATAGGCTTTAAAATAAACCTTAGCTTGCATTTTCTCAGTATCTTCCTTATTTACATTTTTGGGATTCTCGGCTATACCGTTTACGATCACATCAAACAGCTGGTTATGGTTTGTTTATTTGTTTTTCTTAAAAAACGGAGCCTGTTGAATTATTTTTATTACGTTTAATCAATTTTACAAAGTTAAATGAATGTCTTTACTATCTTAGTTACCATTAGTGCAATTTGCGATATTAACGCCTTTAAAACCGCCATCGTTCCCAATGAGTTTATTGTTCATTTTCGTTCCAAATACTTTGCGCCGGTCCGGGAATCCTATATCAAAGCAAAACTACTTGGTTCTAACGTATGTGTGATAAATAAAACAGTTTTCTGTCCAAAGAATACTTTGTTTTAAAGATACAATAGTAACCGAAAGATACATTAATATCTAAAAGATACATTTGTGTTACAAAAATGTGGCATTTACCTTCAAAGGATTCATTGAATCAAAGAGATATTTTTGTATCTGAAAGTTACATTTGTATATCGATTCTATTAAACAAATATTCAATATTTCTAATCATTTTATAGATAACAAATTGGACAATTATTCCACGTGCAAATTTAGCTTGGCAATATCCAAGCGATTTCGATGTTTTAAGAATTTTTGCCGAAGACGAAAGATCGGCAAAGTTTATTATTGAAAGGATCAAATCTCATCCATCAGTAAAGGCAGTAGTCCCTCAGCGAAGTGTTCGACGGTTACTGAACTACGACCCGTACAGCAATTACACGAATATAAATCGTCATTCTCAGGGAGTTTTAAGGAACAGTAACGCGAATAACGATCGACACCGGCAAGTTTGCTCAGTACTGCATGCTAATGTCCTTTGGAAACTTGGTATCACTGGCAAAGGAGTCAAAGTTGCTATTTTCGATACTGGTTTGACCAAAAACCATCCACACTTTCGAAATGTGAAAGAACGAACAAATTGGACAAATGAAAAGTCCCTGGACGACAAAGTTAGTCATGGCACCTTCGTCGCCGGGGTAATCGCATCCTCCAGGGAATGCCTGGGCTTTGCTCCTGACGCTGATCTGTACATATTCAAAGTCTTCACGAACTCTCAGGTGAGAAATGAATAGATCTTGGTAAAGAATAAATCTAATCTGTAACTGCCAGGTCTCTTACACTTCCTGGTTCCTGGATGCCTTTAACTACGCGATATACAGGAAAATAAACATTCTCAACCTCAGCATTGGTGGACCCGACTTTATGGACTCGCCGTTCGTTGAAAAGGTTTTGGAACTGTCTGCCAATAATGTCATAATGATATCGGCAGCCGGAAACGATGGTCCCCTCTATGGCACTCTGAACAATCCCGGTGACCAAAGCGATGTAATCGGCGTGGGCGGTATTCAGTTTGATGATAAGATCGCAAAGTTTAGTTCAAGAGGAATGACCACCTGGGAACTACCTCAGGGATATGGAAGATTGGGACTCGATATAGTCACATACGGAAGTCAAGTGGAAGGAAGTGATGTGCGCAAGGGCTGCAGACGCCTCTCAGGAACATCAGTCTCCTCTCCAGTTGTGGCCGGAGTAGCTGCACTGCTTATAAGCGGTGCATTTAAAAAACTTGATTTGATAAACCCAGCATCTCTGAAGCAGGTGCTTATTGAAGGTGCCGAGAAGCTCCCGCACTATAACATGTTTGAGCAGGGAGCTGGAAAACTAAATCTGTTAAAAAGTATGCAGCTGCTGCTTTCTTATAAGCCGAAGATAAGTCTTATTCCATCTTACCTCGACTTCACCTCAAACTATATGTGGCCGTATAGCTCTCAATCTTTGTATTACGGAAGCTCCGTCGTTATCGCAAACGTAACAATACTCAATGGCATTTCGGTTACCAGCCATATCGTTGGGAACCCGAAATGGATTCCTGATCTCGATAATCATGGTCAGTTTCTACAAATATCAACACAAGTGTCTCCTATCTTTTGGCCGTGGACTGGATGGATGGCAGTTTTTATTGGTGAGTTTTGGGGGGGAAATTTGTTATTTAATTTCCAGTTACAAATTTGTTGCTTTTCAGTTGTAAATAAAGATGGAGACAACTTTGAAGGAGTTTGTAAAGGAAGTATCACTTTAGTTGTGGAAAGTTTTAAAGAGTCAGCAAACGAAACTCATTTAACAGAAGTTGAGCTTCCACTGACAATAAAAGTAACACAAAAACCTCCAAGAAACAAAAGAATATTGTGGGACCAGTATCATAGCTTGAGGTATCCACCGCGTTATATACCAAGAGACGATCTGAAAGTAAAATTGGATCCCCTAGACTGGATGGCAGACCATATACACACAAACTTTAAGGACATGTATACACATTTACGAAATGTTGGCTATTATATTGATGTTTTACGGGAACCTTTCACCTGTTTCAACGCCTCAGATTACGGCGCTTTATTGATTGTCGACCCTGAGAAAGAGTTTAGCGACGAAGAAATAAACACTTTAAAAGAAAATGTTTATAATAAAGGTCTTAATGTCGTCGTATTCGGAGATTGGTATAACACAACGGTGATGAAAAAAATAAAATTCTTTGACGAAAACACCAGACAATGGTGGACACCTGACACTGGCGGAGCCAATGTTCCAGCCCTAAATGATTTGTTAAAGCCATTTGGAATAGCTTTTGGCGATTTTGTTGGAGAGGGACACTTTAAACTGGGCGACCATTCAATGTATTATGCTAGTGGTGCTCCACTTATTAAATTTCCAATGAATCCAGGAGATATTTTAGTAGGAACAAAGTTAAATGATCAAGGACTTTCGGTATGTTTACTTTGAATTTATTTGATTTACATCATATGTATATTTATTTTTTTCAGATTATAAATTCTAAGACACCTAAAAAGGAGGCTAAAATAGATGTACCTATTTTTGGTATGTTTCAAACCAAGGCCAACAGTATCGAAAGCAACGAGGAAATCATGAGCAATGCAGAAAGCAATTTGGTTGAGATCGTACCCACAGATTATGTAGCAATTAAAAACAGGGTTTTGCTATTACGGAAAAAGGAACGAAGTGTAAACTTCGCCAAAATCAATAGTTACCAAACTAATAATGAAGGACGAATAGCCGTATATGGAGACTCTAACTGCCTGGATTCTACACATCTGGAAAAGGCTTGCTACTGGCTTTTGATCACATTTTTAGATTTTGCTATAAACTCACACAAATCTAGCTTATTGCAGAACCTAAATCGAATATCGGAATTTCACAAATCAAAAAGAGCCCCTTTACCTTTTAGGATATCAAACAATAATTTAATATTAGGATCCCAAAACAACATTTGCGAAAAATTCGACTGGCTTGTCGCAACGAAGAGAGAAATCGTTGAGGAGAGGGAATCTTCTATTCTGGAAGTGGTAACAAAAGCAAGTGAAGGTATGCATATTTATTTACAAATTCCGCAAACATCTTTCATTAATTTGTGTTTTATTAGAATATGAGAATGTAATTAAGAATTTACTGGATGCGGAGATCACAAAATTGACTCAAAACAACGACTACTTTGCAGGAAGCCAAGTACCCGATAGTTTAACAACTCCAATTATATTTATGATTAGTTTGAGCTTAATTGTTATTATATTATTTCTTTTATTCATAAGACGTAATAAAAAAAAATAAATATAATTTTTTGTAAGGTCGGAAATGTCTTCTTTACTGTGTTAAAAACAGCGTACCAAAATGTAAAAAGATACATTAAACGGCATTCACAACTAAAAAATTAAATTTTATTAATAATTAAAAAAAAATCAAAAAATTCCAGATTGGCCTTGAATCGATAGTTTAGGTCTTGGACTGCACAAAACAGTAATTCTTTTGGTTGTGAGTTGTATTTTGGCTTTGTTGGAGCCAAAATCCCTTTGTAGATTTAATTTTTATATCCAAAATCCCGAATATCCCGATATTCAGGAAAATAAACATTCTCATCCTCTGCCTTGGTGTCATTTTATAAATAAATTGAATTTTTTGTTTCCCAATCTATACTTTTACAACTAAAGTAGGCCAGCTTGAGGTGTAAAATATTAAAAGTAATAGCAATACATACCTTAATCTTTTAACAGTGGCCTATAATTGAAATGTATCCCATAAATTTAGTTTTAAAAACACATTTTATTCATTTGTATAATTTTAAAATCTTTAAATTGTAAGTTACTTAAAAAATTAAAAATGAGAGCATTTCAATCGTTTCTACATACAAATAATTGTATTTGTAAAGATTTTTGTTTGAATTAGTTGTAAAAAGCTTTCTGCTTTTGACAAAAAGTCGATGTATTTTTCTAAGTTAAATAAATTATACGTATTTAATATATTTGAATATTGTACATTCAAATTACAGTTATAGATATACAAAATGTCCAATAATTTACACTTAACTAAATAAATTAATTTACAGGAATTTTATTATTTTTATCGATGTTGTACCTAATGTATGGAAAGTTAATCTTAAAGTACGGCTTGCTTTATTCTGTGGCAATATACAACATAGCCTATCATTTTTTTTCGTTGTCAATTTTACTTTTATCCAACGATGACGACACCATCCCACCGCCGTTGGAAGGATACAGCTTTTCTAAATAGTTTAATGATTCATTCAAAAAGGTCTGTAACAAAATAATTATTATTATCAAGTCAGAGGAGCTTAAAATCTATATCTTACCTGGAAAGCGTGCAGAACAGCCATAATTGCGGGTGATCCGAATCCGTGCGTTATTAAGGAGAAATGTGTAAGGTGGCGTTGCATCGATGGCTCCAGCAAATGCTGTGATCTCGTGCCGAAATGAGTCGTCCGATCTTGGCTCAAGATCTGCATTAGCTCTTTTGTAATCTGGAAATTTACAATTTATTTTTAATAACAACATATTTCTTAGCTTACACTTAAGCCTCTCATCCAATAAGTTATAATGTTACCACATAAAGAAAATAATTATAAAATTCGCTTGTTGCGTTATTAATCGATTTTGTATAATTTCAGAGATATATAAGTGCGCAGATTTAAATAGTGGGCAACAGAAAATTCGTTGTTTTCTTATGTTTGTTTAACACTTTACAACTTAAGACTTAAGTCTTGTGAAAAAAATGTACTGAAGTTGGTTTTCTTTAAGTTAAAATAACGCGATAAACAGAGCTGACGAGGGCTCTAAACCCATAAAAAAACAGATAATAAATGTTTATTTGCTTGCTGACTATTATAGAAGCTCCACTTTCTTAAGACCTTACCTGCTGGGAGTGGAGGATGAGCTCTTTTCGTCGGTACGAGTCCTGGGGCTCCGTTTGGTGCCGCACGATGTACTCGGCCAGCTGCCTGGCGGGGAACTCGGTTTCGCACACGAAGTGGAAGTCCTTGGCCAGGTGCGTTGCCTCCCCCTCCACCAGGGATGTGAGTAGCGTCACGTTGGCCGCTTTTCGCCTGCCGGCCGGTAAGTTCAGGCCGATCTTCTCCAGCTTCTCCCTCAGCAGGCGACCCCCGTTCTTGCTCTTGGCCCTGAAAGGATGGAGTGGATATTTAAAGCCCTGTTTCGGGGAGAATCTCGACTGAACCCACCTTCGGAGCACTCCGCCCAGAAGGGAGGCGTTCAAACACTCCGGTGGCGACAGACGCCGCTGCACTTCGGCTATGGTGACCTTGTATTTCGAGGTGCTCGATAGGAGACTAAGGCGACCAGGAACTGCACAGAATACCTCGCTGGGCGAACCCGATCCAATGTTCCCGGCTTCTTTTCCGCTTTTCATGCCTGCAAATAAACGCAACACCAGATTTGGATTCCATGAGCATGTACACCATACATATTGTTCAAGGTAAGGAAAATATATTATTATTGCTATTGTTGTTATTGTTCCGACTGAGCAAAGTGTGAACGCAGGACGTGGGGATCATTTTACCCGAATCCTGCCAATTAGAAGGGCAAGATTCAATTTCACAATGCACACAGACTCACTATTTTCTGGGGTTGGTCCATGCATTGTTATTTAGGCGTGTTCGCAGTTCCGCCTCAAACGCAACATGGAGTGGCATGTAACTTGCAAGTTCATTATGATTATGAATAAATATGGTGAGGTTCAAAAATACGAACAAATGTCTACAATAATTAGTTTTTAACTTTTTTTTATATTTAGTTTTCGCATTGAAGAATGCTGTTCTCAACCAACTCTTTCCTTCAACACGAAAATAGTTCAGAAATAATTTTAACATCAGTTAAAATAATAAAATCATTGCTGGCATAGCATTATATTTGTTTGAAGCGCAACAATAGTTGTCGAGTATAGAGGCTTATGTATTTTTCAAGCTTTTAGTTCCAAAAATCCTTTAAAATATGAACATATGCTATCAAGTTTTGGTTTTATTCTCTATTCTGGACTCGCGGACAGTGTTTAAAGGGGTGTTTTCAACACGATGAACAAATATGGACTAAAATATTTGCCCTTAGGCTCAAAATCGTACATTGAAAAGAATAGTTGTTCAATAATCCTTAAGGTGCTTCAGTATTTTTCTATTTTTAAGTGTTCTAAATTACAATAAAAGGAATATTTCTTGTAATAACTCACTCTTTATAAGCGGCAAGTCTGACATAAACGCCACGTTATCGTCGAGGGCAGGAGCTTGGACATCATCGACAGCATTTTGAAGGGCTTGGTGCAACGCCAGGGACTCGTGCTCATGACCAAGTCTGGTTCCGTGGGCAGCTCCCGCCGATATTGCACTTCCGTAATCGCCTCTTCTATCCGTGTACGGAAACCCGTGTGACAGTTGTGTCTGCAAAAGTTTTGAAGTTAGACATAATTGGGAGCCATATAAATTGAATAATAATAATAACTGTGGTTTGTCAAGAAAATATAATTTTCGGAAAGATAATGTTTTGTGAAATATTTTAGATAAGACAAATTATGTTAAGAAACTGTTTAAAACTGTTGTATTCTTGCAATTGTGATATATTTCTTAACTGAATTTCAAGGAGATAGTTCTGGCTCTATAAAGTGATCAGCATTATCAGAAGAGTCGATATAGACATGTCCCTCTATTTTCACACGATTTGCTAGCTCAGTTTAAGAACTGCCGTAATTCTTTTATACGAATGAAAACGTGAACATTTAATGGTAAAACTGTAATTTCACCGTCGACCTAATTTGGCACAATTTCGTTGATTTTAACTTCTTTGTTTTGGTTTTCTTACTAATGTTGCTGTTCATCCAAAATAACTGTGTATTAATCAAAGCAAGATTGTATTCTACAATTTTAGAAGATATTTATAATTTCTATCTGTATATGAAAGCTGCAATAAGGATATTGGTAAATTCGTTTTTGCGACGGTTTCGGCATGCGGAAGTTAACTTCCTTTCTGGTTGTTCCATAAATTAGGTGTACTTTTGAACTAAAGAATTCCAAGCCCACACCGCCACAAATCAAGCGGAAACGTATTTTGTGTAGTGCAGTGTTATTACAGAGGGTATGGCAGAAATGACGGCAATAATTGCGAGATTATTAATACATCGGCGCTTCGGTTTCGCCAAGGGGTTGAAGTCGCCGCATAGCCAATCCCAGGTCCTTGCCACCGATGTATGCAGACCGGCTGGCAGCCGCACTCACACACTCTCGTCGAAGTACGTCTGTGTGCGAGTCCTTTCGGCGGACAGATGCGCACAGAGCCTGAGAGGATACGCCTTTTCGGGGCATTAAGGCTGCGTTTCGCTGCACCACTCGCCGAGTGGCATGGAAATGAATGGGGGGCACAGACTCCCTTCGGCGGGCTAAGGCTGAGCTAGGAATTTCATCGTTCTTGGCAAGACTTTCTTGGAAATCCCAAGAACATTTTTTACATTTTCCGGGCGATGTTTTTTTAATGCACTCGAATGGAATTCGTTCAAAAATAACTTCGACAACTTTCACAGAATGGGGCAATTTCCACCCCGAAAATGTTCCATGGCCTTCCAAGCCAAGAATGTAGCAAAATATGCAAGAATAATGTGGAACAAGACGCAAATTCTTAAACGGATAAAAAGATTGAGTCCTGGGCTCAGCTTCCTTCTTGTTAGTATTCCCAGTAATTTGCCTCCAATTGGGGTACTTAAGGAAATTTGTTTATCCTATCGTCTTGTAACTCGAACACATTTACTGACAAGTCATAAAATTAAAATGTGTTAAGGTATTAAACCTATTCTAGTACCTATAAATACTTGTATACATCAATGATTTAAATACAATTAAATTGTTTTTTTTTTCTTGTCACCATTTACTATTTAATTATGACAGTTTTGAAAGGTTTTCAATCACCAAACAAATTTAAAGTAAAGAATTTTTTAAGATTCAACCGAAAATGAATAGATTTTTACAACTGTTTTCACAAATCTTTGAGCTTAACAATTGATTAAAATAATTGTATACTATGTTTGGTAAGATAAGCTTTAGTTTGTTTAGTTTAGAACGCACAGGTAAGTCTTATTATATAAACAAAATAAATTGGCTGACTATATATATATCCAATAAACACCAGCCGGCTTAAAAAATAGTTCGATTGATAGTTAGGGCTTAAGTTTTCGCAGCTTTTCATTTATTGCCTACTGATATCTAAATTCTCACACAGATCGACTTAATCAGGATTGGTGATCAATATACATACAGTATAGAGTCGTTAATTTAAGCTCATAAAAAGGGATAAGCTACTTACAACATGTCCCTGCAGCTCAGCCTCTCTGTGGGTCCTGTGGATCCCCAGCTGGTCCTGCGTGGACCGG